ATCTATAAAATAGGAAGCACCATAAGCAAGCAAGATTGGTGGACATGTAAATGGGAATATTAAAGAATAAATGGACATGATAATAAAGGTGTCATGCACATGATTGGATGCAGTGGTGTGAGAAGAATGCAATACTGTACCATGTGACACCTGATACAGCACTGTACAATATATCTACAGAAAAGCTGAAAAAAGGAAAAGTTTCAGGTGTTGAAGTACTGCACTGTATATGCAGAAATGATTCGATGTGGATATTAAAGAATGAAGATGGTGTGTGGAGAATTTGCCAAAAGATATGGAAAAATGTTAATGTACCAAAGAATTAAAAAAGAGCAGTTGTACTAAAAGGAAGAACAAAGTGAAAAGAAATACTGTATAGAGGCATTAATTAACTAAGTGTTGTGAGCAAAGTGTATTTCAGGATAGTGATTGGAAGAGCACAGGAAATTACAGAAATTGATCCATGATGAACAAGGTGGGGTTCTGTGGAAGTTGTCATTGTGCAGATCAGATATTTGCATCGACAAGTAATGGAGAAGGCAAGTGAGAAAGATTGTAAGGTGTGCTTAATAACATTCATCCATTTGGAAAAAGACATAGGAAAAAAAGATTTTATGAGAACGCTTATGGACAGACAAGCATATATGGAATTGGCAGAGTTGTTGAATGTAATGAAAATTTTTTATGTATAGTAAGTACTATAGTCACAAGTTCCAGAAAATATTTTCTTAAAGAGTTATGACTGAACACTGATGCAGTGTCTCCAAAACTCATAAGCAGTTAATTCACAAAATAATGATATGAAAATGAGACTCCAGTCACAATAAGTAGCTAGAAAATCAATTTAACAGTAAACTTTTTTAACACCTTTAACTTTTTGTGGGGGGTTAATGTTTTTCTATGCCAGATTACTCACTGGGACACTGGGTAGAGGCGGGACCAAAGAGCCGAAGCTCAACCCCCGAAGGCACAACTAGGCAAGTACTGGGACACGAGTGTCATGAGCAATTTTCAGGGCCTATCAATATCCAGTAATGTACTATAACGTTGCATAGAATTGCTGAAGGAATAATTGTTCCATGTTCTGTAGCTAGTTTATCAATGCTGTACTTGCTAAGCTAAACAAATCTGGAATTCAGTTCCTAAGTCCTTTGTGAGTCTATGTAGACTTTCCACCACCACTCACAGAATTAATTAAACTAACTAGCATTGATGGAGTGCCTACTCATGTTGGAGAAAGTTTAACACACTTTCAGAAGTAAAAGTCAAGAATGATCTGAATACTGACTCCAAGTATGTAATCTAATAATTGAGAATATGTGGGATTAAAGCCCAAGGGAGCAATATGCTACAGTAATTGGTAACAGATGATCAGTATTTATACCTGATCAACCAGGTTGTGACTCATACGTCAGGCTGCAAGCACCCGCGTCCAACAGCCTGGTTGATCAGTCCGACAACCAGGAGGCCTGGTCGATGACCGGGCCGCGGGGACGCTAAGCCCCGGAAGCACCTCAAGGTAACCTCAAGGTAGATCCATAAGGTGCTATACTATCTGGTAACAGATCAATGGGGCAATATACTATTTGATAACAGGTTCATGGCAGTGATATACTATTTGATAACATACCCATTGGGTACTGTAACATTTGCAAACAGGCCCATGGGGGTGCTGTACTATTTGCAAACAGGCCCATGGGGGTGCTGTACTATTTGCAAACAGACCCATGGGGGTGCTGTACTATTTGCAAACAGGCCCATGGGGGTGCTGTACTATTTGCAAACAGGCCCATGGGGGTGCTGTACTATTTGCAAACAGGCCCATGGGGGTGCTGTACTATTTGCAAACAGGCCCATGGGGGTGCTGTACTATTTGCAAACAGACCCATGGGGGTGCTGTACTATTTGCAAACAGGCCCCTGGGGGTGCTGTACTATTTGCAAACAGGCTCATGGGGGTGCTGTACTATTTGCAAATAGACCCATGAGGGTGCTGTACCATTTGCAAATAGACCCATGAGGGTGCTGTACCATTTGCAAATAGACCCAGAAGGGTGCTGTACCATTTGCAAATAGACCCATGAGGGTGCTGTACCATTTGCAAATAGACCCATGAGGGTGCTGTACCATTTGCAAATAGACCCATGAGGGTGCTGTACCATTTGCAAATAGACCCAGAAGGGTGCTGTACCATTTGCAAATAGACCCATGAGGGTGCTGTACCATTTGCAAACAGACCCATGAGGGTGCTGTACCATTTGCAAATAGAGACCCATGAGGGTGCTGTACCATTTGCAAACAGACCCATGAGGGTGCTGTACCATTTGCAAATAGAGACCCATGAGGGTGCTGTACCATTTGCAAATAGACCCATGGGGGTGCTGTACCATTTGCAAACAGACCCATGAGGGTGCTGTACCATTTGCAAACAGACCAATGAGGGTGCTGTACCATTTGCAAACAGACCCATGAGGGTGCTGTACCATTTGCAAATAGACCCATGAGGGTGCTGTACCATTTGCAAATAGACCCATGGAGGTGCTGTACCATTTCCAAATAGACCCATGGGGGTGCTGTACCATTTGCAAATAGACCCATGAGGGTGCTGTACCATTTGCAAATAGACCCATGAGGGTGCTGTACCATTTGCAAATAGACCCATGAGGGTGCTGTACCATTTGCAAATAGACCCATGAGGGTGCTGTACCATTTGCAAATAGACCCATGAGGGTGCTGTACCATTTCCAAATAGACCCATGGGGGTGCTGTACCATTTGCAAACAGACCCATGAGGGTGCTGTACCATTTGCAAATAGACCCAGAAGGGTGCTGTACCATTTGCAAATAGACCCATGGGGGTGCTGTACCATTTGCAAACAGACCCATGAGGGTGCTGTACCATTTGCAAATAGACCCATGAGGGTGCTGTACTATTTGCAAACAGACCCATGAGGGTGCTGTACCATTTGCAAATAGACCCATGAGGGTGCTGTACTATTTGCAAACAGACCCATGAGGGTGCTATACTATTTGCAAATAGACCCATGAGGGTGCTGTACTATTTGCAAACAGACCTACGGGGGTGCTGTACTATTTGTAAACTGGGCTATGGGGTGCTGTACTATTTGATAACATAGCCATGGAATGCCGTATTATTTGAATTCATTTAACAAACCTGGAATTATACAAGACATGCAGTTAATAATCTTTTGTGTCCTGGATAAGGTCACTAGTTGGCCTATCTTGAGGTTATCTTGAGATGATTTCAGGGCTTCAGTGTCCCTGCGGCCCGGTCCTCGACCAGGCCTCCACTTCCAGGAAGCAGCCCGTGACAGCTGACTAACACCCAGGTACCTATTTTACTGCTAGGTAACAGGGGCATAGTGTGAAAGAAACTCTGCCCATTGTTTCTCGCCAGCGCCCAGGATCGAACCCAGGACCGCAGGATCACAAGTCCAGCGTGCTGTCCGACCGGCCGACCGGCTCGGCCTAGGGGGAGACTTTGGTAAGTCACAGTCTTCCTGCTGCATACACATGAAACTAACAGCAGGCGCTCAACGAAGTCAGTAAGGTTCTGTGCATCACTGTGCAATGGATGAGAGAGAGGGAATTGAGTGTTTACTAGATTAGTATTTGGTGAATGAATATGAATAATGACTCCCTAACTAACCTATGGGATTGTTGATAGATACAGGCTCATGGGGAGGTGGGGTATTAGATAAATAATCAGCTTAATATCTCCCAGGTACCTACTTGCGTGGGAGGTAAGTAGGTACCTGGGACATTACTGACCTACCTATAGGTAGGTTAGTAGGTAAACAAAGACACTGGGTGTAAGGAAGTGTACTGAACTGTGTCCTGTGTGGAACTTGGAGCCGAGGCCATTCACTTGTGAACGAAGTACACCAAACTGAACCTTGCCTAACACACAATTTACCTAAAGTCACCTTAGGGACACCATCTATTTGGTAGCACAACGGGGACAGGAAGCCGGCAGCTTGTAAAATGACACCCCCATTTTTTCAAAAGATTTTTTTTAACTATATTTTGAATTGTAGTGTAGTGTTTGCATTTAGGGCTCCAGAAAATATACATATATCAATTGATTGAGGCATTTATTTCAAGCAACCGATATTTTGTCTACCTTTCATTTAGTAAAACTCTTTACATCGACCAAGTCCCGGAAAGTTGCTATGCCTAAAAATAGTCACTAAAAGTCTACCTCATACTTGGATGACAAGTTTCACCCACTGCCATAGAAAATACATAACAAAGCCTCCTTTGAGAAGTGGTGTCATGAAATAATTATTTGACAAGAATACTAAACCTTTCACAAATTATATGCAGGATGTTCGTACCAAGACAACACCTCCACTGATGACCATGACGGAAGCCCAATCGTTCTCTACCAGTTTACATTCTTATTGAAACCTTCTTTATGCCACTTTAAAAAAAAAAAAAAAAAGTGCCACAAATTCTCATTCAATGTATGACACATTACAAGTTTAGTACAGAACATTCAGTAGTTAGTACATTACAAATAATACATTACTAAAATATTAAGGCACTACTTGGAACACAGGTATTTATACAATAAATATATAGTAATTAATTACTGTAGTAGCTGTGAACAAGGCACCTATACCCCCCCCCCCTAGCTACACACTTGTCATGTGTGGTCAGGAAGTGTGATGACAAGTGCCAGTAGTGCCAGGTGAAGGTCACCTCACACCCACACACACAGAGGTGCCACAGGTGAGGGTCACCTTTGTCCCTCCCACCCCACGCCCACACACACACTTAAACCACTATTACACCCTTGTCAAGTTGTGTGGACGTCTTGACACACCTGGAGGGTGAGCTAGGGTGGGCGAGGCAACAAGTTGGTGCCTGAGTAGTGCCAGGCCTCGCCCGTGTCGCGGCGGGGAGGGGGAACTGTCCCCCTTAAGTCACAAAAGCTGTCAACGAGAAGACAACGCCCCCAGCGGACGGCACCTTTACCTGATCAATGGGCATGCCCAGCGTGTCGGCCAGGAACTGGAACCTGCGGGAGCCCATGTAGAACTCCTCCCAGTGGGAGGAGACCTCAGGAGCCATTGTAATGGAGAGGAGAGAGAGAGAGAGAGAGATGAGGCGCCGCACACACACACACCCGCGCGTCTCTACCTCCCGCCCGGCCACCCACCACTGATGCCTCCCGCACGCCACACACCAGAAATAATAATGATGCTACTAGAGCTGCCTCTTATTATGCCACTCCTCTCTCCCGCCTTCTCTCCTCACCTGTATATATATCACTATATGCTCAGGAAAAACACATTGTAATTCATGGTGATATAGCATTATAAGCCACTGCAAAATAATACAACATAAACTTCGCCGGAACGCTGTGCGTATTAGTGGTTTTAGGAATAGTATGTACTATAGCTCTATCTACAAATATAATATTGTGTTTGTAACTCATTTTGAATGTATGTACTTCCACCTGAATAGACACTATCATACGTGTTTGAAATATTCTCCACGTCAATATAATATAGCCAATATATCATATGCATTACGTATATAACCTTTTTATATTCAGTATAAGTTAGCGGGCTTGTAAATTAGTGGAATTTGCCATTTTCCTCAAAAGGGACCCAGGGTTCGACCAGGAACACCATGTACTGCCCGTAACCCAGACCATTAGCCCTGTAAAGTTTAGTGAGGCTAGCCACAAGCGTCTGGCCGCCTTCTTTAGACAAACGGTCTCTCTCTCTGCCCAACCACTTGGGCTGGACGGTAGAGCGACGGTCTCGCTTCATGCAGGTCGGCGTTCAATCCCCAACCGTTCAAGTGGTTGGGCACCATTCCTTCCCCCCGTCCCATCCTAAAACCTTATCCTGACCCCTTCCCAGTGCTATATAGTCGTAATGGCTTGGCGCTTTCTCCTGATAGTTCCTTTCCTTTCCTTCTCTCTCTCTTTGTCTCTCTCTCTCTCTCTCTCTCTCTCTCTCTCTCTCTCTCTCTCTCTCTCTCTCTCTCTCTCTCTCTCTCTCTCTCTCTCTCTCTCTCTCTCTCTCTCTCTCTCTCTCTCTCTTTTGAGGGTCCCGGTAGTACAGTCGGATTCGTTCTCGACTCACCTTCGAGAATTTTGGGTTTGAATCCCGGGCAACTCCTGAGAACCTACTTGCTGCTAGGTGAACAGGTGCATTAGGTGATACGAAATGCGCCCAACCATTTCTGAGGCAGAAATGATTGGGCACATTTTCTTTCATCTAACGGCTCTGTTCAAGTAGGTATTCAGGAGTTAATCAGCTTGCTGTGGGGTTGCATCCTGGGCGGGGTCAGTAATTCGACCTTGGGGTGGAAAACCTCGATTTAAGCCTAACGTGTATGCATACACTCTGGCTTTCTGTCCCCCGACACAATGAATTATTATTATTATTAATATTAATATTAATATTAATATTAATATTAATATTAATATTATTATTAATATTATTATTATTAATATTAATATTATTATTAATATTATTATTATTATTAATATTATTATTATTATTATTATTATTATATATTATATACTGTATATCTATACAGTAAGAGAATGTTTGTCTGTCCTATGCAGACGCTTGGGACTAGGCTCACCCCAGATCATTCCCCAAATTTGGAAATATTTGAAATTATAAAGTAGGAAATATTTGGATTTATAAAATAGGAAATATTTGCAATTATAAACGCCATTTTGTATGTTACTTTGCCACAGTCCCAGTGGCGAAGTGGTAAGATACTCACCTGTCGTTTCACAAGCGCTCTGGCCTGGGTTCGTATCCTGGCTGGGGAGGATATAATGGGCGCCAATCCCTAACTGTAGCCTCTATTCACCCAACAGTAAAATGGGTTCCTGGTTGTTAAACCATTTGGCGGGTCGTATTCCGGGGAACATTAGGATTAAGGACCTGCCCAAAACGTTACGCGTGCTAGTGGCTGTACAAGAATGTAACAACTCTTGTATATATCAATAAAAAATAAAATAAATAAATAAATTACAGTCAAATGTAAAATATGGCGTGTGGTTAACCTAGAGTTTGAAATCCCTATCTCTATAACAGGGTGAGAATAGCTTGAGCTACCTCATCCCTTTGTGTGTATTTTACCTCAATAAAGTTATTTATATTTATATTTCTTCTATTTCCTATCTCTACGGTCAAAACTGTATTGGTCCAAACACTCAGATCTGATAGGAAACAAATTACTGACTCCCAACGACCTGAAAGTACTACTATAAACAGCTATCATTTGTTCAGATCTGAAACCTATATCTATGGGCAGCACAAAACGTCGACCAGACTGTGCGACACAGTGGTTTCAAGGATCAGGTTGGGTTACCGTTACCTGTGGCAGGTGGCTACAGGTGACGGATCTGGGTCATTCCATGTGAATTCACCAAAGGCCTCCCACTCGACCCTTTCTAAATCTAATGAAATTTTGTAATAAAGTAGCCCTAGACCCCAAATGAAATTGTACAAAATATTAGAGCTCAATCTGCTTTGGTTCTTATATAATAGATCCATGTTCAATGAGCTCTCATCCCGTTAATGCGAACATATCGTAAAAAGGGCCAACTTTGACCCTTTATCAAATCACGTCTAGTGCCCAGAGGTGTGAAATTTGGCATACCAGGACAACTTTTGGTGCGGAATACAGCAGTGTAATCAAAAAAGTAGTTTGGGTAGCCATTCAGCTACCAATCCATGCTAATATCACTGCCAAATTTTGTCGTGAGAAATTTGGACCCCAATTTGGAGACCACTTCCTCATCAGCAAAAGGTCTAAACGCAATGATCTTTTGCAACGATGTATAACAAGCACAATATTATGCAGTGATGCAATATCAACTCTGTTGTATACATATGTCCAGAGGTGGCCCACTTGAAAGTTGGCCAAAAAAAATTTTGTGCAAAACTAGCCAACTTTTTTTTTTTTTTTTGAGATATATACAAGAGTTGTTACATTCTTGTACAGCCACTAGTACGCGTAGCGTTTCGGGCAAGTCCTTAATCCTATGGTCCCTGGAATACGATCCCCTGCCGCGAAGAATCGTTTTTTCATCCAAGTACACATTTTACTGTTGCGTTAAACAGAGGCTACAGTTAAGGAATTGCGCCCAGTAAATCCTCCCCGAACCAGTATTCGACATACTGGTTTTGAATGACACTGCGAGCAGCCGCGTCCAACAGCCTGGTTGATCAGTCCAGCAACCAGGAGGCCTGGTCGACGACCGGGCCGCGGGGACGCTAAGCCCCGGAAGCACCTCAAGGTAACCTCAAGGTAAGGACACCATTGGATAGAGCAGATTGTTCTGTACAAGAGTAACTTTTATTTATGTTGGGATCTGAATTCCTAGTTCAGCCAGAGGACTGAAAATGACATACCTTGGTGCGATATCGAAAAAATCAAATTATGATTCTCCATGTTGTTTGTGCACTGATCATGACTGCTAGCAAATTGATATCCAAACTGATTGGAAAAATTTTAAGCTTCATTAGGTAGAACATTTTTGGGTGGGATTCAGAATTATTATTAAACAATTAATGCTATTTTAGGTTCGTGTTCTATATTTATCTTTACATCTTTGTAGTGCCGTGTCAGCAGATCAAACATTACTGTTTACTTATTTGTGTATTTACTTTCAATAAATACACAAATAAATCAAAAACAATATTAATATTAATGTATTACAGGTCTTGAAATTACTGTATTCAGTTAGTTGAATAATTTGATTTGAATTCGATTACAGATACGTCATGAATCAGGAGTCCATTGGTTTGTTGGCATGTGCTATTGCTAGACATGAGTGTGGCTCTTCTGAATGTCACTTGATAACTACACTCCCAACAAAGGCTTGAAGTTTCTAAAACAGTGTAGTGCAGAAGATCAAACACTGATAACAAAGCGAAGTGAACTGAACTTGGATGGAGAATCTCAAGTCTGCCTCCATCATGAAGCTTTATTGTTGACGAAATTTGAATTTTTGCAAAAAAACTTGCTGCAATCCCTTCAAGAAGAAATACCATGTAAAGCGAAAAGATTTGCGACCAATCACAGTAGCTACTGCAGAGTAAATGTCAGATATGCTGAGAGTCAGTATTAAGCCTGGCCAAAAGTTGTGCACATCATGCAGAAAGGAATTGGACAGCAAGTAGGTAAGTGTGTCCAGCTCTGCTGACTCTGATGGCCCTGCTGATAATATGGAAATCTGTGAAAGTGTAAACACAAGTTTATCAGTATTAGGCGTCTCACCTATTAAATATCAACGAGTTAGTGCAAGGGATAAGCATAGTTATGCAAAGCGTAAGATTAGCCAAGCACAGGAAATAATTGCCGAGTAGATTGCTGCAATTGTAAATATTGATTGCCAAAACCTGTTGGTACCAAGCTCTAGCCAACAGTGCACAAATTGCCAAGACTCATTGGAGAAATGAAGCTATAATTCCATGAAGCAAAGAGCCAAGAGCCAAGAAGAGCCAAAGAAGAGCCAAGAAGAGCCAAAGAAGAGCCAAGAAGAGCCAAAGAGCCAAGAAAAAATACAAATCCTAACCCTCGTGCCACAAAGCTGGTCTATCAAAAAGACAATTGAGCAATTCAAAGATTCAGAATATATGGTTCGCGAAGCTAGGAAGCTGGAAGAAGAACAGGGAATACTAGAAATTCCTAAGAAAATGTAGGACAAGTCAGTTCCTGAGGAAGTGAAGGAAAGGATAGTACAGTTTTTTGAGGGTGGAGAATTTAGTCGAATGTGTCTCGGAAAGAATGGAAAGAAAAAAAGTCATGATCAGTGCACACAAAAGATGCAGAATCATAATTTGATTTTTTTCGATATCGCACCAAGGTATGTCATTTTCAGTCCTCTGGCTGAACTAGGAATTCAGATCCCAACATAAATAAAAGTTACTCTTGTACAGAACAATCTGCTCTATCCAATGGTGTCCTTACCTTGAGGTTACCTTGAGGTGCTTCCGGGGCTTAGCGTCCCCGCGGCCCGGTCGTCGACCAGGCCTCCTGGTTGCTGGACTGATCAACCAGGCTGTTGGACGCGGCTGCTCGCAGTGTCATTCAAAACCAAATTGGGAATGACGCATATTGAGACGTTTTGCCATGAAAGTTGGCTAGTTTTGCACAAAAATCTTTTTTGGCCAACTTTCAAGTGGGCCACCTCTGG